TTATTGTAGAAAACCCAAACCAAATACTGAAGAAAATGAAACATTCAGTCAGCACAGTGATAGTGGAAGGTGTCCTCAGTAGAACGGATTACCATGAGGATAGATGCCAGGGCTTGAAGACAGTGTAGGATAATTGTTACATGTTGTCAAGAACAATGAATTTTAAAAATAGGTACAAATGGAATCAGCAAGATGTTGAGACACCTTGAAGAGAATAAACAAATTATGGCCATAGAAGATGCAGAAGAAACCAAAGGAAAAGGTACAGAAAATATTTTCAATACAATCATAGCAGAAAATTTCCTGAGTCTAGGGAAAGAGAATCCCATTCAAGAATAAGCCAAATAAAACAACAAATAGGACCAGAAAAGAAATGTCTCATATAACATCATAGTAACAACAGTAAGTGTACAAACAGAGCAATGCATTAAGAGCTTCAAGAGGGAAACATCAAGCTACATAAAGCAGGTCCTGCAGAATGACAGCTGACCTCTCAACAGAAACTCTGAAAACTAAGATATGGAGATAAGTAATTCAAGTTATAAAAGACAATACCTGACAACCCTGGCTATTATTTCCAAAAAAATTATTTCTCATAATGAATGGAAAATTAATACATTCCAGAATAAAACCAGACCAAAGGAGTGTTTGGCCACTAAGGCAGCACTACAGACATTTCTGGAAGTAAATCTTTGGACCAAAGAGAATGATAAACATGTATAAGAAGCTGGGGAGAGGGATAGAATGCTGTAAGAGGAGTTAAATAAATGTTTAAAGATTAGGAAAATACTAAACACTACAAATCAACAAAACAACAGGAATTAATAGATACCCTTGCAGTAATAATGTTGAGTATTACCTACCTCAATTCTTCTGAACTCTGAGCCCAAATAAGCCTTCCTCCTGCAAACTTTTTTTGTCAGGTATTTGATCACAGCAATAAAGAACTAATATATATACCTTCAATTTATATACATACATATGTGTGTGTCCAAGTATCTCAATTAATTTCTGAAATCTAAAAACAAGAATCTCTGTAATGTAATACATGAAACACTGAATAGTAAATTTTCATTTTGACTTTTTCTTCTATGTTGAAGATTAGTGCAATGGAAATTGAAACATGAATTTTAAAAATGTACATTTACGGCTGTAGAGATGACTCGGCAGTTAAGAGCACTGACTGCTCTTGCAAAAGACCCAGGTTCGAATCTCAGCACCTACATTGTGGCTAACAGCCATCCATAAATCCAGTTCCAGTGGATTTGATGCCGTGTTCTGTCCTCCATAGGCACTGCATGATACAAGTGGACTTATACACATGCACGCATACCTCTCATACACACAAAACAAAAATAGTTTTTAAAAAGTTTTAAAAGAAATGTATATTTAGTATTAGAAGAGGATGTATCTTATTTTCTCAGAGATGGTAAAAGTTATATGTGTCAAGGGTAGCTAATTTAAATTCTCTGCTCATTTAAACTTTGATTTTTTACCTCCTGTTGATTCTCCTGTTACTTTGCACAGCAGTAACCTGCTTTCATTTCCTTATAAGGTTCCTCATTATCTTGTTCACCTCTGTATTTACTTGTGCATTATCTGTTTCCCGGTGTATGGATATAAGCTAAATATGAAGTTTTATCCTTTCTATTGTGGTACTGAATGTAGCCCACAGAGGAATTTGCATGTTTATTCACTAGAAAAGTAATTAATTGTTTTTAAAAGGATGCAAAATTTACAAGCATTTTGGCTAAAGTTCTAGGATTATGAAAATAAACTGATAAATATTCCTTGTAAAATACATCTGTTTTTATTAAATCTATGGTGTTTTGATTTTATGGACATTTCATACAGTTATTAAAATCACTCAAGTAGACAATTTTCTTTCTTGCTTATGTAATCGATGCTTTACCTATAACATAAAAGTAAAGCTGACAGTGTATAATAGGAAGTCACATTTAGGGAATGTTCAGAATTAAATGAAGAAAAAAAATTTGCCAGGCATTTTGGCACACACCTTTAATTCCAGCACTGGAGAGAGACAGCAGACAGATCTCTATGAGTTTGAAGCCAACCTGGTCTACATAGTGAGTTTCAGGTTAGTTGGGGCTGCATAGTGAGACCCTGTCTCAAGATAACAAATAAGAAAATAATAAATACATAAATAAAATGTTCATAAAAAGGAAGTCCTTGACATAATATAGTTTCATTTTAAAGAGTTTCAAAATTCTTCTTCATGGACGGCAAGTACTCCCACCAAACAGGGAAAACCCATGCATCAGTCTTTCATATTTCAAGAATCTCAAGTTGTCATATGCCAATGTAACTTTCTATCAGATCATGTTAGTACTACACTGTAATGTGGATTCCATTTTTATATTTATTAAAAGAAATTTTAAAAAGAGCTATTTAAAAAGGACCTAAAGACTCGAGAAATGGCTCAGTTGTTAAGAGCACTTGCTGCTCGTCCAGAGGACCTGAGTTCGAATCCCAGTACCCAAGTCAGGCTGGTCAAACCACCTGTATGACTCCAGCTTACCTATGACTCGAGCTCCAGGGAATCTGACACCCTTTCTGTCCTTTGTGGAGATGTACACAGGGCATACATTCATACATATACAGACACACACACATAATAATAATAATAATTAATAATAATAATAAAAGTAAATCTGTAGAAAGGGAACTAAGCTGTTTTTTATAAGAATATGACTGTTACATATTTTTCAGTTGTGAAAATGTGCATAAGGTTCTCTGGTATAAAAGAATGACTGATATCACAGATAAATTACAGTGACCAAAGCAGGATGATGATGATGTTGGGAACATGCAGTCACATCACAAGGACTGACATTTTTTAATTGATTTTGTGTGTGTGTGTGTGGGCATTTCATACAGAACATCCCAAACAATCTTATTCATCTTTATACTCGCATCCCAAATGGCACCCTCCCATAGGCCCCCTCCCCAACCAGAGCCCATATATTCTGTCATCCCTTTTACTGTCCACTGTGTTATAAGTGTCCCCGGCTGTTCCCCAGTGCAAGTCCATTTGCTGAGTCTAGTCAGTCTGTCTAGAGTCCTTCATTTTAGGAAGATTAGCTCTTCTTCATCTAGCAGAAATCAGTTGCCAACATTCCTTTAGGTAGGATTAGGGTCTGCTGTTCATTTTCCCAGTTCTATGCTGGGTTACTGGGATTTAAACTTTTTAAAAGGAAACCAAGAGCCCTCTGTTTTATTTCAGTGCCTCTTGAAAGTTTCTATTAAAAGCAAAACTATCAAAACAATCAATTTGGCAAGAAACTGCAAGTCTATTGTCCTAAAATTTGATCCCATGTGAGAGATGAGTGAATAGATAGTTTCTGCCATGTTCAATGCAAAGCAGAACATTTAATTACCTAGTTTTTGAGAATATTGAATCATAGTGGCATATTTCCTTAATCAGTAAGCTATTTTGAAGATGACAAAAACTGTCATATTTTTCATTTTGGAACTTCATTTGGCACTCATGGAGAACATATTTTTATCATTAAAGATGTGATTTGATGTACAGTTGAATTGAGTGCATAATCTTCTTATGTCCCCCTGTTCCCTCTCACAGATGGGAAATATCACCAATCATTACATTCCTCTCTTTTATTCTGTCTCCTCTCTGACCCTTTGTGCATCCCACCAGTTGATTGATCTTCCCCAAATACAGCTTTATTCACATTTTTCTTTGAACCAGAAATATTTCTCAGTTCTTTCTCATTTAGAATTTATGCACAACCCATTCCTTTGTGTTCAAGGCCTTTCATCATACAACTTCCAATTTGCATGAACACTTTGTCACTATTACCTGGAAATTGAACTCCAGCAGTGATTCATTGATTATGCCCACATCCTGTTTCTAGAGACTAGTTTTTGTTCATTGATTTTTCTGGCTCAGAAATGTCTTCTTCTCTGCCTTTAACATCTCTCCTTAAAGATCAACCCTACAAATCATTATTGCACAGGAGTCTCTGAGAATACCAAACAAAGGTATTACCTCCTTCATATAGATTCCCATTGCATAGGTATTCGCCATCAACTCCATAGTTCCTTGGGACAGCTTTGATTTCATTAATAAATGCTGCAATGCTTTAACATTTTATGTGAATGTATTGTCTATCAAGGTAGATCATGAACCCCTTGAAAGCCAAAAATTCCTTTTATCGCCTATGATAGACTAATACAGTGTTCTTCACATCATAAATATGTGAGTGCTGTTTATTGTATCAAGGATTTCACAAATATTAAAGCAGTAAGTAGGATTTGTGGAGAATGAGACCCAGAATCATAAGGTAGCTAAAGCCTACTCAAACATCTATTTGTTTGATTATTAAGACATTTTCTACTTTTTTGCAAGTTATATTGTTTTATTATTTCATTGGCTATTCCTAAGTTACTTTATGAAACATGCTGATTTTAGTCAACTGCATGTCTATGAGTTTTACATACATACAACTTCACATATGTGTTGATAAATAAAAGTATAAGCAATTGAAATATCTTTAGTGATAGTGTTGTTTCAAGAGTAAAGCTAGAAAATTCCATTTTAAAGATTTATGAAATGAAGAAACGTTGATGGTAACAGAGACAAGGGCACTTTTACTGAGATGTACAAGACTATAACAAGCACCAAATACTGCAGAATTCTTCAATGTCCTGGTAAGTCTTATATTCCACCACAATGCTGTCTATACACATGCCACTGTAAATCAACAATTTCCAAGAAGGTGATAACACCTTCATTTACTTCCTGAAGTGTTTAAGATGGAGTAGATAATTGCAATGAAGGACTGATACACTGGAGTCTGGAAAGCATGAGAAAAATGTTACTGAGCTGATACATTTACAAAATATTTTAAAATGAGCAAGACCATGGGACCTGCTTACTGCAATGACGTACTCTGGATCTTCCCTTTTAAAGACCTCTGTTTCTGAGCACTTTGATGCTAATGTCACACAGTGCCACTTACCATCTTTCAGGATGGTTTCTCTCTCTGTGCCATCTATCTTCTGCCGGCCAATTAGGAAACTGGTTGTGTCAGCAAAGTAGATGTAATTGGCTTCTGCATGAAAATCTAAAGCACGCGGGTTTACCAGATTTTCTATGGGGATCATGCATTCATCAGCTATCTTGGTATTCAAGTCCATTCCTCTAACAATTCCTGGGCGTCCTTTCCCATAAAAAAGGAACAACTCATTCTTTGGTCCTGCAGAAGAAAGATTACAAACATAAACAACCCATGCTGCCTAATCTTCTTTACACTGCAGAATGCCATTGTTTAATTAACTGGCACAATTAGGCGTATTTTAAATTCAATACTAGAAATTAAACTCTAAAATATGCCAAATGTATCTTGATGCAAGAAGGCCAGCTAATTGCATTACTTTAATTAAAACAGAAATTACTCCCCGAATGGATTATATTTACTTAATTATTCTTTTGTCACTGTCTGTAAAGCAAAAACATGACAGATCATTGAATAACTTGTAACTTGTGAAGTGGAAATTTATTAAAATATCCGGCGCATTTGATTTTATAGTTCATTACAATCTCGCTAACACCTTTCTGTAGATACTATCTATTGCATTCATTACATTTGACAACGCTACAAACTTCAGGCCATTTAAAGCACTGCACTCTAGAGTTTCATCTATAGACTGTCAGAGCTAACAAAAGATTCACAGGCTATCAGGAACTTGCAGGTGGATGTGTTACATCTGCCCAAACAGGTGACTAATTCTTATAAGAAATGAAATCAATGCGAGTTGATAGCATTACTGTTCACTTCACAGCTTAATTGGACTCTTAGAGGCTGGCTGATGCTGCCAGCCAGTGACTCTGATGCACAGCACAGGCATCAACTTAAAACAAATAAAAAGTAAATTCTCCAAACAAACAAAACCAACCTCTAGAGTCATTGAAATGGAGAATCAAGGTGCCTTTCCTCTTCCTTCTTCCCTCTTTCCTCTCCTCTCCTCTGTTTCTTTCCATCACTCTGTCCCTCTTTCCCTCCCTCCCTCCCTTCCTTCCCTCCCTCCTTCCTTCCCTCTTTCCTTCCCTCCTTCCTCTCTCTCCTTCCCTCCCTTCTTCCCTTCCTCCTTCCTTCCTTTCTCTCTGTTCTCTCTTTCTCTTTTACAGGAGCATGGGTAATTCAAAGGCAGCTACATCACTGCCATGGGTTACAGCTCAAGGAGGCTGCATTCCTACAGCTCGAGTTCTGTGCATGACTTGCAAGACAGTCTCTTCACAAAATTGATCGCTGCTGTTATAACTTTGAGAAGAAGCCTTCCAAATCCTGTAACTTTCTAAGCTTTGGGAGTCAGTTTCTTTAGCTTCCTTAGCCAGGAGGGAATGTTTGAATTCTGAAATAGCCACATAAGCTTTGTCAAATACTCTCTGCACCCCTCACAGGCCTCAAAGTCTTAGCCTAAAAGGTCTCTGCTCGAGGTCCGGACCAAGTGAGGCTGAGATAAGGTCAGGACCAAGTGAGGCTGAGATAAGCGGCTGTGCTTCCCCATGTGTGTCCAGGCTTACGGGCTGCAGCTGGGTCAGTGAGATCTTTCTTTACCCCTTGACTCCAGTTTAGATATCCTACACGATCCCTTCCATGGGTCTGTAACCTGAACTAGTCCCCAGTGTAGCTGGTGTTCTCCTTACTCCAGTTTAGATATCCCACACGATCCCTTCCATGGGTCTGTAACCTGAACTAGTCCCCAGTGTAGCTGGTGTTCTCCCTATTCTATTTAAATATTTACTTCTTGCACTGTCCTCAAAAAGGACATTCAAAAATCTCATTCTTATATTGCAATTTTTAATTCTCAATGTCCTCTTTACCCCATTGCTCGGGGTTTTGATGATCTATATCTATTAAAGTCATTTCTCTGACTTTTCCAGGTTTGCTGGGTTTTCATTGTTTCTATATGACATCATCAGGACCCATCATGTGTCCCCTGCAGCAAGGAACTCAGGAGTGACCCTGTCCCCAACTGCTGCCGTCCTTTCCACCTTGGCCTTATGTCCAGGTACCTTCCCAAGTGAACACTGCTACTGAAGGTTGATCTGGACATGCTTAGCATTGGCATCCAATTCACAAAGTATGGGAAGAGAAGCTGAACAGCTGTTTTTGTTGAGACCAGCCTGGATTCAAGGAGAGAGAAGATAGAGTACATGTGGGGAGGAGCCACTGTCATTGGGGACTCTGTGACATTCTTATTCCTTGTTCTGTTTCTTCTAAACTGTAACTGCTCTGTACTTTTGTCTCTTACACTGAATGTACAGTCTGCAAAGCTGGGCATTTGTCCATTTTATTCAGTGCTGTGTATCTCACAGAGTGCTGTCAGGCACAAGTGTATTTTGGCTCATTCCACAGAACTTTAATTTTCTTTCAGCTACAAAAACCATACGAGGCTCTTTAATTAGGGTAGAACCCCATGCTTAGTTTATTCTGTAAAGTAAAAAATTAATACTTTTTATGAAAAGGAGCATATGTTAAGGTCTGGTACCAAAGTTGAGAAAAACAAGGACTGCTATATCTGTACCTTTTGAAATTTCTATTATAGCAAAATTTAGAAATACTTTTTTACAATCTTTTTTCCTTAAAATTGGTGTGGTTGAATACTGACACGTAAAATACCTTTTATATATTTTATTATAAAACAATGAAAATAAAACAAATCCAAAGCACCCAGCACAATGTTAAGAATACTACCAAGAATGAGGTAGATGACCCTAATCTAGTGGCTTCATGTTAAAGACACTCAATATTCTGATTGTTAAAAATATCATATAATTTTATGAAGCATTTTTAGATATCTTTTCCCTTGTCAGTGAAGTTTTCATGATGAAATTTATAAATTGATTTTATTCCCATTTAATCAGTGGCCACAAATCCTGTGGTTGAAATCATGGTTCACTTTCACCACTGTATAACATTCCTTCACATGGCTTTTCAAATTTAACTTGTACAAACATATTGACAATGCACAATTGTTTATCTTTTATTAACATATATTTGTTCTATCAAGGATCAGCTTCAGGAAGGCATTTTATGAAGTGTATCCTGTAGTTTGACATTTTTCTGAACCCCATTCCACTAATTGCCACCAATTCTGTTTCTTCTGATGTATATTTAATTATTTCAAAACAAACAATCTATGTTACAGACTTTTGTCATTTAAACTTAGCATCAAATAATTTTCAATGTTGATTCACAATTTTAAGACTCACATTATTCTTGTTGGATATTGTATAATTTACCAAACAATTTACCAGTTGGCTTTACTGTTTTATCATTATAATATTACTGAAATAATTTTCAGTCTAATATTTCACATCCTTTTAGATAGAATTACAAGATTAAGTATGGTAACTGTCTTCTGTTCATCACCTTTCACAGTCTTTTTATATCTACTTTATTTCAAATGCATTTCCTGTAAAATTAACATTTTATGTGATTTAAAAGTAGCATCAGTTAACTTTTAAAAATATTTTAACAAATATTATGTGTATATACATTTTCCTAGGACTGAGCAAACAGCGTAAACTATTATTGATTATTTTTGTTTTTATTTCTAATGGATATTGCAATTGGTAATTGGTAAACCTGGAAGTCCATTAGGTCAGGACAAATGTGTGTGTGTGTGTGTGTGTGTGTGTGTGTGTGTGTGTGTGTGTATACTTGGGATTCACATCATAAAACTGATGTTTTCTTCATTAATCGTCCATTTCTTTGTAGGAATTCTTTGATACCTACTTTAAAAGTTCTTCTAATATAGCTGTCTTCTTGTTCTATACACAAACAAAACTGATGTCTCATTATCACACCACACCACACACACACACACACACACACACACACACACACACAGAGTTTCTGATTTCAGTTCCTAGTTCCACTTTAGAGTATGGAGATGAGACAGATTTGCTTGCAGTCTCTGAAGATAGGATCTAACAGAAAATACACTTCTTCACTGTACTGTCTTCCAGGCTTTTACACGTGGGAATTCCAGGAGAGACAGCACCTCCAGGTCAGATTTGGAACATGTCACATGTGACATAATTCTGAAGCTGATAGCTAGGTTTCCAGCTTTCTAATCGCCTGAATTCATCTAGATTGCTGTATTTTTGAGATTAGCATTTCTTTTTGTGGATTCCTGCTGCCCCAGCCTCTGATAATACCAGGTGTTCTAGCTTTCAGCCAAGGAGTATTAATAAAGTTAAGAAAGACCTACATTAGATGCTGCTGCCCCAGGCTCTTTAATGTATCTGCAAGCTTCTATTTGTATTAAATCCATTTTTGTTTAATATAGCTATAATTGTTTGCCACAATTTTTATTCCTACCTAAATGATACAACATTAAGGAAGATGTAATCGTGTAATTCTCACCTCCCGATTTTCCCCAGCATATCATGGACATTGTATGTATATATGTATATGATCATGTTCTTTGATGACAAGCCATGGCTTCCAAGAAAAACAGCTCATTTAATAATGCCACACACACGTATAGACACATTCAACTTCTCTTATCGGTAGGCCTCAGATTCAGGACCTCAGTTATCTAGAAACACTCAGGAACATAAACCTCTTATCTTCACCTACTCAACATTTAATACAAAACAAGAAACACAAAGAAGAAACTGTACATGAAGTAGAAAATATAAGTGAATTTCTACAATACATATATTTTTGCTTAGACTTTGACCTGAAATTCACTATACTATTAGTAATTCTTACAAGTTGCACCTGAAACTTCAACAGTTCTGTGGTCTCATTTCACTGTCCTCAGTGATCACATCACACAAAAAAAGTGCAATAAACAACCAGAGGATGCAGAGAGGGAGTCTGACAGAAGTGAGAAATGCTACTATTGGCAAAAATTATGAAAGAGAGAGGCTGGGCAGCAATGGCATTATCACTTCTTCAAAATGTTTGAGAGATTGGCTGGAGAGACGAGTCAGTAGATGCATACAGCTCTTTCAGAGGACCTGAGTTCAACTCCCAGTGCCCAAATCAGGCAGCTCACAACCACCTACGACTTCAACTCTGGGGATCCGACACCTTCTTCTGCCCTCCAAGGGCACATGCACTTATGTGCACACACACACACACACACACACACACACACACACACATGCACTCAAATAAAAAGATAAAATAAATCTTTTTAAAAGTGTTTATGGGACATTTAAAGACCAGCAATGACCAAATGGACAATATTTGTATTTGTGTCCCTGTAGCACATCTTAATATAAAGACCCAAAATAACGATTTCAAGTTTGTGTAAATGTTGTTATAAGCATTATTTTTTAAATTGTTATTAATTTTATATGAATGAAAAATCATTGACTTCCTCTGTCAAATCCCCAAAATCAACTAAATATATACCTAACAGTTATACATTTTGGGTGAGTTTTACATAAATCGTTGAAGGGATTAATATTTGTCTAGCATTCCTTTTCTTTATGAAACATGGAATAATAAATTGAATTTTAGTCCCCAGTGCTGCCGTACAAAGGCATGGCTACATGTAGACTTTTATTGGACTGAACAACACGCCTATTTTGAGAAGAATCATTTTGGTATAAAGAAAATATCTGGTCAAGCAATGAGCATAGCTCATTAACGCCGTTAATATCATTAAAATAAAAAGCAACAAGGTATTTTTTTTCTAAAATTTTCACGAAATTCCACTACCTGGAATTCAATATATTTGGTAGCACTTCAGCCTGAGTGGTTTCCAATTCACATTGCCACAAAAGAAAAGTAAATACTGATTTTGAAAGAAAAAAATGGCTAGTACATATTCATAGGGAACTTCCATCTAATCATGGCTCTTGTTCTATTGATGTCGATGCTGCTAATTAATTAAAAATATTCTTCAGTAGTGGCTGCTGGCAAAACATTTGATTTTAAAAACATACTTTTGCATGATCTGCCATCACTCCCCAAGTTGAAGCCAGTCCTGCAGCGACAGGTCCGTGTCTTGTAGCTGCTGCTGAGCAGACAGATGTGTGAACATCCCCCTGGCATTCCATATGCATCAACTTCACAGGCATGGGTTCTGACTAACATAACAAACAAGACAAGGGAGGTACATGCATCAGTATGTCAAAACTTTACAGTACAAGAACATACGTATCTTAGGGAAATCTTATCTACCCATCTATTGAATACTGTGATCAAATGGAAAAATTCAACCCCCATAGAAATGATGGTAGTGTGCCAGTACCTTCTAATGTTACATTTAGCAATGAATTCCAAAACTTAAGAGTGCTCTTATATTAATTGAATGTGTTCAGATGTATGCAAAATGAAAGTAACATGGTTTTCACATATGCATTGAGTACTTGTTTAAATGCCTTTAAAAAAAATAAAAATCCATCAAATGTTGGATCATCAAATATAAACAATTCTAGTTTAGGGAGATAAGCAAAGAATTTCCTCCATAGTAATCAACAGCATGAGCAGCTAGACTAGGAGAAATGGGTTCAGTCATTATCCAAACTACTGACAAGTAACAAGTCACAGTAAATATTTTTACATTCTTGAGTCCATTGGTATTTTGAGAATTCTTTTTTTAAAACTTTTACCAGTACTTTATTGATAATTTCATACATACATAAGGTGTTTTGATCAAATCTATGCCCACTGCCTCCCCTCCAACATTCCCCCCTCTGAAGAGAGTTCTACTAAAAACTGAAATGTGTGTATGTCTGCAGATCTAAAAGGTGGAGGCTGACTTCACAGGAGGAAACGGAGGCATGGAAACATGTTTCATGGGTTTTTAGAGTTAAGATGAGAAAACTAAAAAAGTGCCACATGAATCGGAAAAGGAAAAGTGTCAAAGGGAAAAGGAATGACAGGTGTGTGTCAGTAATGTGAGTGTATTCTTATACTGTTGAGAAAGTCTTAGTCAAAAGTGAGATGAATATCACAATTTTCCTTATATAACAAAACTACTTTGATTTTTAAAGTAGTGCCATGTTAATTTTCTAAGTGAAAAAAAAATTAGTGAAACATAGTTTTAACTAGCTTTTTACTCCTAAGAGTATTGTTTTAACTCTTCTGAGTAGCTCAGTTCGATAACACTCCCTGCTCAGTTTTGCTTCCTCAATTGGCTATCAGTATGTAAGTGAGCTATTATTTCTGCAGCTTAGAAAAAAAATACATCTCCCCATTTCTCAGCTTTGTTTGACTTTCGGGGTTCCTGAAATTATCTTTCATCATTTATTCATCTCCTTTCCTTCCTGTCTCTCAAACCAGTCCAATCAGAGATTCACATCACCACCAAACTGCCCATGTCAGATTCCAGTAAGCTTCATGCTGTTAAGTCTAAAGGTCAGTTGGCTTTTGTGAGCTGCTTCTTTGTCTTATCTTTTAACTTTCATAAAGGTAAAAATGCAATGTTTCTTTATTTACTAGTATATTCAGTATATAGTAAAATTCCCGGTATATAGTAGACTGTCCATGAGTAATTAACAAAAGAGTAAATCCTAATGTCAAATTTTAATAAGGTTTTTTTCCAAAGCTGAAAGATGAATTTGATATCAACATATTTGTGATAATAAACTGCCTCCGTTGAATATACATTGATATTTGGATAATTCTAGGTTAGTTTCCATCTGAAGTGTAAGTATAGAATGATGACAGAAATTTGGGATGGTAATTTTTAGTTTTAAAATAATATTATATTATAGAGTCTAAATTGGACTGCAGAATGGCATCATTAACATATAAACATAATTGTGTTTTGGAGGAACATATGAAATTACTGCAGACTTGTCTTCAAAACTATTTTTAAGGACCATGTGTTAAAAACAACCTGTTCCTGGTGGCTCAGTGGTTAAGAACACTGGCTGCTGCTCTTGCAGAGGACCCAGGTTCTGTTCCCAGCACACACTGGCAACTTACAATCATCTGTAGCTCCACTTCCAGGGGTTCTTACACCCTCATTTGGCCTCTATGGGCATTGCACAGCACAGGTGCACCTACATACGTACAGATAAAACACTTATAAAATAAAAATAAATAAATAAAAATAAAACCAAACACTTGGGATGTTAAATCAGAGAACCAAGGACTATACTCAGTGAGCACTGGGAACATGGTGCAAGAAAGTAACCTGATTTGAAATTTGTCTCTAAAACTGACACCAAGAACTCTTAGTATCTAGCATCTCTGTTTACGTACATCACAATTGAAAGTTCCTTCTGAGTCTAAATCTCGACACCATTTCAATTCTATGTTTGTAGAAACGATTCAGTAGGAACTGAACAATTTGTCATTTAGACTTGAGAAAGGAGCTCTATTCCATTTTATCAAGCAGGCATGCACATTTTTGCTGTCAAAATAGAGAATTTACGACACAGCCGCTTTAATACTATACAGCAATACAAGGACTCTCCTCCCACTCAGTCTGTCGTTGTGAAGGTGATAAAGAAGTCTGCGACCTACCTGCTGGTTGGGATCTTTTTTGATAGATTCGGATTCCTCGAGCACTTTCCATTTTAATTAATGAATGGATATCAGTACCATTAAATCGGTTTATTCTTACAATATTAAGGTTATCTGAATTGGTTGCATACAAATAGTCTTCAAACACAGTTATACCATAGATATGTCTGACCTGTAAAAAGCATCAAAAATAACTATGACTCTTAATTATTCTGCTATCATTTTTGAAAGAAAAAATATTTGCAAGAGTGAAGTATATCTATAACCTGTGAATATTATCATTTATTTTCCTTCAAATGAACATGTCAATAATTAAACATTTTCACTAGTGGAAAAACTTTATATAGTGGTGTGTAAAATAATTTCAAAGATATGGGAAAGAATTTTATTCACATTTCATTACAAATGCATGTTTTATAGTTTCTGTCCAAAGCTAGCAAAATCAGACCTTGAAGTGTATTTACTAACATGCTTTATCAGTATTATATAAAACTTGAGACATTTCAGGTGCTATTTGTTTATATAGCTGTTGATTATTTAGGTACTGTAGAATTAAGGCTGTGACTATGAAAGGTCTAAGATGAAGGTATTTTGAATATTTGCTTCATGTTGAAAGTCTCATTTTTTGAAATGTTTGGAACACAACGGAATCTCCTATGTACAATAACTGCAAATCAAATTAAAACATTTCACTCAGAAATTTTCTTATTTCTAAGACCTGTTCATAATGGCAAATAGACTACAGCAGTGATGTTTAATTTAATTCTGCCTTTAAATTAAATGAGCAACTCAACTCTTTGGCAAAGGTCTTAGGGATTGTGGGGCAGTGAGCATCTCAAAGTCATAGAAAACTTCCAGTCGTGCGGAAGCAGGATTGAATACTCTAGCTTTCTACTAAACTGCTAGGCACATGGTGTCTGGGCTTTCTGAAATTATACTTAATTTGAAATGATTCTGAAATGGGGTGTGTGGCTCTGCCAAAAGATGCCCTGCAGACCTGTGATTTGAAGCACAGGTCACTATTGTAGATGCTGTATTGGCCACTTTTAATGTATGTAAATTTGTAGTTGAGAATGTGTGGATGCATGCTTTGTTTGTAGAAATGGAGAACAAAATTGCACCACATGGGTGGACTCACATGCATGCAGGCAATATACTCAAGCACATAAAAATAATAAATTTATTAAATTTTTTTCTGTTTAATAAGCAAATCATACCAACTGTAGTTCTAATATAAATTATCCTTATTTCCCCTGCTTTTTTATGCAGTATGACTAGAAGAAGCCTGACATTCAGTTTTGCTTTGGAGTCATACCATTCTTCAGTTTAATCTTCCTTTCCTAGTAAGTATGTGTGTGCACATTTATACAGTAAGGGAGGAATATGCATGTTTACCAACATCCTTTTCCACACATCTTACATCAGAGTCACCAAATATACCAATAGCCTGAGATCGATTCAAGCAATAATGTTTTCATATTAAAAATTATAAACACACTCAGGGCTGGAGAGATGGCTCAGCAAAGAAGCTGAACTCCTCACTTAGTGGTTGGCCTCATGTGTGTGTTTATCAGGGTGTGGGACCCTCCTCACTTGGTGTCTATAATTATGACATTTTCATACTCTTCTCTGCAAAGGTGATAGTCCACATCTGATAAGTAAAATAAAATAGGTGACATAGGTGACAATTGGCCAGCACAAAAAATATGTTCATATGGCAACAATTAAATTTCTCGCTCATTGATGTCTGCTCTGCAACTTCCCTCAGCAAGGGTGGAACATGAAGTAGAAGATTAACAATTCTGCCTAAACAGCAAAACATTTAAAGAATATATCCATGTTGGATTACTTGGTGGCAGACTTAACATATGTTTAGGGAGCCCGCCAAACATAGGCAGTAGGAATAAGAAAAAAGGATCACTAAAATTTTGAGAACTGGAGGAGAGCCTAATCGGTGAACTAAATTCCATTCCCAGAACTCACAAAAGATGCAGGGAGTGGTGGCGTTGGCTTGTAGTCCTACCACTGGAGTTGCAGAGACAGTCAGAGCCATATGCTACTTGGCCAGCTAATCCAGATGAATTTATGAGGACCTGGGCCAGTAGGAGACCCTGTCTAAAAATCATGGTGTATGGCACCTGAGGAATGACATCTAAGTTTGACCTCTGGCCTCCATAAATATGTACACACACACACACACACACACACACACACACACACGTGCTGGAAAGATGTCCCAGCAGTTATGAGAGCTTGCTGTGCAATCATCAGAACAAGAGTTTAAATTTCAACATTCCTTAACAAGCCAGGCATCCTGCAAAGATCTTTAATTCCAGCTCTGAGGGATCTGATACCCTCTTGTGGCCTCCATGTGAACAATGCACCCGTGGGCACACATGTGTGAACAAACATAAGTAAAATAGGAGAAGGAGGAAGAAGAGGAGGAGGAGGGAACTTTAGACATTGAAAAGACTATTTCATATTTCTGTTTTCAAAGATTTTAAAAATTAGTTTGAATTATTTGCCTATGTGTGTGTCTCTTCATGTAAACGCAGTTGGCTACTGAGGCAAGAAGAGGGTATCAGATCCCCTGGAGCTGGATTTACAGATGGATGTGATCCACCTAAAGTGGGTTCTGGGAACCAAACGAGTCCCCTGTGAAAGCGGTATGCACTCTGAACCGCTGAGCCATCTCTTCAGTCCCTTAAAAGACTTTTAAAGCAGTCATGGGGAAAACTATGCACTTCCTTCTCTTTGATTCAGTGTTTAATTTCTAGGGTCAGAAAATAAAAGTCTGTCATAATCATCATAGAGATTGATTTCGCTATAGAGTATAGACAAGTCCAGCCAAAGAAAGTGAACTTTCTAGGACAGTTGAATGTGTGAGAGAAACAGCTGAGTGCACTTACGATGGATGGTTTGCTTTTGAACAACTGAGATCAGTGCATTTGTTTCTCAGAAATGGTCACTGTAAGGCGTATTATAGAATGCACTTGCCTTGGATTACAAAAGAAACAAAGGGATTCACACATTTCAGTTCCTACTAAAAACCCCAAAGAGATTGCTATGATCAGTGAGAACCAGCCAAATGTGAAGAAAGGTGGACCAGGGAAGGAGGCAGACTGGAACTTTGCACCTTTAGATGTTTTCTGAGCATTGTTGGAAAAAATCTGATTCAGCAATGTGAAAAAATACTGCAAGTGGCAAGAATAACGATCTTGGAATTTTCACAAAGTTCTCATTTTAGGAAGTACACAAATGAATCTGCAAAACCAAGTTCAACCTATTAAAATGATTGGGATACTTTGGTGAGCACACATTTGCTTTTGTTAGATGCTCGCGCTCTTTAGTGTCCCATGGGGCAGGTGATGGTGCAACTCCATATGAATAAATTGCTTAAATTACTTTTCAAAAAGTAGGCCATGACATCTGTCTTGTCATGGGATCGATCTCTCTCTCTCTCTCTCTCTCTCTCTCTCTCTCTCTCTCTCTCTGTCTCAGCACTTTAGTATTCTTCATGTTTGTTTGCTTTTAACAGAAGGAGGAGTAGGAGGCATCTTCAGTATCTGGGACCTAGGCTAGTGTCCCTGTGAACAAAACCTCCTTCACATATAAAATACACCACACATCTTGTCTTAAAGATACTGTCAACATTGGAAATCTTAGTCTACGTGAGAGTATCATGCATTCATTTTATCATGTCAGCTTCTTTGTGAACAAATCTGTACTTACTTCTCTTCCTTGAATGACAATATGTCTATTTTTTCCTTGATAGTCTACTACTCCCACATAGTCCAAGTAGAGATCTACCCAGTAAACCAATCTGTTGACGAGGTCCAGTGCCAGTGCAGCTGGCTGCTCTGCCTTGGAGTCGATGATCCGTATTCTGTTCGTCCCATCCATGTCACATCTCTCTACTTTGGCAACATTCCCATAGTCAGTAAAAAAAAGTTTTCTGTTGAAAGAAAAGGAAATGTTAAACACAAAGGGGGAAAAAGTGTATTTGATGGAGCCATCTGTAAAAGGCAAAACTTTTCCTTCTAATTTATTTCAGCAGTTACATCTGTTAGCTACCCATAACCATTTCCATATAATATCAGCCATAAACAGAGAACTCTGCTAATGAATATTGCAGGGCATAAGGGAGCAGGTTAGCCAACAACTGTAAAATTTCCTCCAAACAAATGGCTATGGTGGGTCTATTTTTGTATCAGCAGCAGTGTTCCTTTAAGCCTCTTAGAGCCAGTGCCTCCACCACATTCAGTGCAAGCTTTTACACAAGCCTAGTCACCAGGACAGGGCACTAGAGCCATGAGACTTTATCTTCAACCTGCTTTGCACATTGCAGGTAATGTCTGTCTCATATAAAACCTATTCTGTGGAGTTCCACAGTGCTATGAGGAGCAGACAGCAGCAAACCTGAAATGGCTGAAGCAGAAAGCAACCCAAATGTGCTGTTTGTAGCATCAGAAATAAAATGTAAATAATAAATAGTGTGTCCTTGCATTCTACTCAAGTCACAGAAATTCATGAAGAAAATGAGGGACACTTTTCAAATGAATTTGAGAAATATATTGCAAAGAAATGCTGACCCATGGGACACATATTCTTCCATGCAGTTCCGAGACTGCCAAAGGTTTAAATGTACCTCCAGCACTTGAGTGTTTAATATTTGATTAGTATTCACAATGTTGAGTAAACACAAATCAATTTCAATTAACCTGACAATAGTTAACAAGATTACCACTCATGAGACTAAATTGCATTTGCAAAGAGAAGACCATCGTCCCTTGACTTAAATATAATCTCTAGAATAATCTAATTCACAGTGATTGAGCGATATTAAGATTGCCTAGAGTATAGAAGATTGGATTTTACAAACTTGGAGAATTTCTTTTTAGATACTTTTCTCAATGTTTTTGCATTATCTAACAGTGCAGGGTATCTTTGAAGCTAAAAAGTATTACTTACAATTTAATTTTAATTTAACTCTTTTTTGCTGTGGGAGGCTTGGACTAATTTTTATATAGCAATTCATATTGTTATATAATAATGGAAACCAAAGTTTATTATGAGTTCTTGAAAGATCACTTTATCACAGTAAGTTAAATGAGTTTTCAAATGACAGTCCATTCAAATGAACAGCTTTCTAATTTAGTGAAGAGCAAATAAAAAGAGCTCTGATGCTTTTCTTTGTTGTCATGAAGATATTGAAAAATAATTCTCTTTTTCTCTCTTTCTCTCCCCAAACTCCCGCTTTTAATATCTCCACTTTCCTTACTTGTAAGTCAATTGTTTACAGCTCTGCTGAGTTAAATTTCCATAAGGAGTACTTTCCTCTTCCTGTAGACTTGGAAATAATACATAAAAAGTGCTTCCCCCCAGCTCTGTTCCGAATAAAATAGTGTAGTTGTTGTTAATGAAGGCCTAGCCCATGCCATATTGCTTCATATTTTTTACATTGATTCACATTATAAAGGTGAAGAGGATCAGGGATGGGGCAAGGACGGAGGGTGGTGAGAGATGTTCCACACCAAATTGTGTGCCATGCAGACAGACTTTTCCAGATGTGACAGGAAGCAGCACTGTGGCTGCCTGCCCAGTGTTTAAGAGGGAAGACCACTCTGAAGACGAAGACCTTTCTGGTCTTGAGATGACTTTATTGGATATAATCTCAGAAGAAGCAAAGGGAAAAGAGCTAAGACAAGAACCCTGGAGGCTTACCATTAAGAACAGATCATCTAAAAGAGAAACATCTAGGAACGAAGAATTAGAGTGGCTGACCAGATTAAGACTTCACAAAGAGAACCAAAGGTATCCTTCTGGAAGTGGTCAGTGAGTTTGATGTTTATTAAGCACAAATAGGCTTGGGACTTCCGTTGAGAAGTCATTACTGATATGAACTAGGTGATAATGAACAAAGCACAGTTATTCTACTGCAAGTATTCCAGAAATATTGAAATTTAACTTCAGGAATAAGACAAGTGATTCACACATACATTCTACCTACATCACAAGAATGCCATTATTCTGTCTGAATAAATTTTATCTAAGCCTGAAAAGAATTTTATA